GTGAGATAAAAATAGTAACAGTGCGCTGAGTATAGCTAGGTGGCTGATATCACCTGAAAGGGAACAAACCGATTATTAAATTATTTGTATTTGATGCTTCCTGGGTTATTTACCTGCTGAAAATATTGGCTTTTTAATTTAATATATATTTATTTTATGAAACATGTTTCTACAGCGAACAATTTTTTTTTTCATGATTTCTGATAAAAGAAAAAATTGAATTTATTTAATGAAGATCGTTGCCGAAGCCATATAATAGTTTGCATATGAAATATATTTTATTTTATGATGTTAGCGAAAATTTCAAAAATATAAAAAAAAAAAAGGTAAACAAATATTTGGAGAATCCGATCATCGATCCCGGTACCTCTCACAAGGTAAGCGAGACGTTCGTGCTTTGGCCATTGACATTACTCCATCTGAAAATCGATTTTTTTTTCTTTAATTAACTATTAAAGAATTATTTGATATTTTTTATTTATATTATAAATAAAAAAAAATAAAAAAACTGGAGAATCCGGGCATCGATCCCGGTACCTCTCACATGCTAAGCGAGCGCTCTACCATCTGAGCTAATTCCCCTTGTTGTGCATCGGCAGCTAACAACATAACCAAACTGGTAAGCAGCACTGCCTACAAGAAAATTTTCTGAAGTTGTTCAAATAGATGGCCTTGATCTTACGGTGTAGTTGTCTTTAATTATTTCGAAATACATGTCACCGTTTTGTCAAAGGTCACGATATAATGTAATACTATTATTGGGACTGCAAACCGATGTTTAAATATAATTATAGGTAAATAGAAATATTTCAAACACTGAATTCTCAATGTAGAACCATAAAGCCTATGGTCATGATACAGTATCTGGCTAATAGCAAGCTCGGATGGGCGAATACTATATCAAATAAGCCACGTTTTGATATTTCATACACTTTTGATCCGTTTTGGCGCATCAATTGTTCATGAATACATTTTCCCTTTCATAAAAAAACCCAGCTAGGATTTCAATCCCAGTTTCATAAGTATTGCTGGAAATATAATGAAAAAACAATAAGAAAAAAATGATCATAAGTTATACAAAATGTTTACATAATTATATAATGTTTAGTTTCTATCCCTTCCGGGCACGTGATTTTGTTTTTACCAGTGACATCACTGTTATGGCACACTCCAACTGAAAAAAATCAGTTTTGTTTTCTTTTATTATCTTACAAAGAATAATTTTAATATTATTTATTTATATTGTAAATAAAAAATAACAACTTGGAGAATCCGGGCATCGATCCCGGTACCTCTCACATGCTAAGCGAGCGCTCTACCATCTGAGCTAATTCCCCTTGTTACGTTTCGGATCTTAATAACAGGACCCAGCTGGTTAGCAGCACTGGCCAACAAGAACATCATCTGAAGTTGTAAAATAGATGGCCTTGATCTTCATTTAGGTTGTAGTTTGTTTTTAAATATTTCGAAATACATGTCACCGTAATGTTAAAGATCACGATATTATTGGGACTGCAAACCGATGTTAAAATATAATTATACGTAAATAGAAATATTTCAAACACTGAATTCTCGATGTAAAACCATAAAGCCTATGGTCATGCTATTAGCAAGCTCGGATGGGCCAGGGATGTGCAGTGGACTTCTGAAGCCTTATAGTTATACAAAATGTTTACATATATAATGTTTAGTTTCTATCCCTTCCGTGCACGTGATTTTTTTTTCACCAGTGACATCACTGTTATAGCACACTCCAACTGAAAACCATCGGTTTTGTTTTCTTTTATTATCTTATGGAGATTTATTTTTACATTATTTATTTTTATTATAAATAAAACAAAAAGCCACTTGGAGAATCCGGGCATCGATCCCGGTACCTCTCACATGCTAAGCGAGCGCTCTACCATCTGAGCTAATTCCCCTGTTGTGAAATATAGGGTAAAAATATAACCGGACCGTTGAGTAGTACTCGATAATTTTACATAGTAGTACATTTTGTCTAATGACTTTATTAAAACATATCATATTGACAAACTTTAGCACCCTTTGATTTTTTGCTGGTAGGTTATATCTTGTTTATAAATAGAATAATTCATGGTAACATTGTAACAAAGGTTTCTAGTTTGGGCGGGAAAATGGCACTTCACAGCGTGTTCATAGTTTCTATCGGAGTTACCTCCCTTACATCACTGCGCCGTCGACTTGCTAAAACCGGTGACGTCAACAGGTGTGAATCAAGGTGTTCCCCATGATATAAGGTGAAGGTCGATACCAACGTGAATGTAAACAGGTTCAGATTGAAATGGGATTTCCACTGTAATTATTACATTGTGTTTTTTTACTTATACTGATTTTAATATTAACGGGAAACAGGTGTGGAGAGACGAGATATACGAAAGGTAAGATATTTAAATTGTTACGCTTGACTGTAGAACACACGACGACTTACAGACCCAATCCTACTTGTGACCACATATACAGAGTAGATATAGAAGTGACAGCCCACTTCCCGTTTTATAGGAAACGAATCGTCAATTAGGTATCAGAGCCCTACCCTTCAACAGTGTTAAGCCACTTATCGATCAGAGCCGACCCGAGACGACTAGTATAATAAAATCTCAGTAACTCACATTGTCGTGACAACTGTTTATATATCTATGTGTAACCACAGAAGTAGGCGTCACAGTATATACAGTATATACACCCATTTATGTCTCAAAATTATATAGCATAGTATNGGGGGGGGGAAGGGAGGTAAACGAGTTAATCACCGTAGAATAACGTATAGTACTTGTCAATGACCCATATTTCTGTCTTTAAAAAAAATGTATGGCAAATAAGGACATTCTTTATTATTTTCTATTATTTGCGAGGAATAAATATGATACTTATATACAGTATATATAGCCACGCGATCGTAATGTCATTTCATATTGAGGTTTATGTGATATTTATTGTATACATGTGTATAGCCACACGATCTTGATACTGAGATATATTTACACATATAGCCACATGATGTCATTCACATTATTCCTGGTATTGATTAAGTCCATCTTACAAGCGTGATACAATGGTGACAAAGAAATAGACTTATCATTAGTCATACTATATATATACACAGCGACAAACCATCTACCCACACATATATACACATACAGCTACAGACCACTGACAAGACTTCAGTGTTGACATTTAAAGAGAGACTATATATATGTCCTCTTCTTCTTCTTCCATTTACTGCGGCAGATCTCATAGATATGAGTGCAGTTGCCGCAATTTTAGGTGTCCTTGGAGGTGGCATTCATGTTTTTGGTTATTTTATGATAAGATAAAACTATATACATGCATGATAATTATAAGAGTTAATATAGAGGTTTTTTAGGATGATTAAGATAGGCAGACAGAGCTGATTTGAAATGGTTCAAGTCAGGTGACTGGGCTATATCTTCGGGCAGAGAATATTCCATGTACTGATAGTTCTTGGGAAAAATGAATTTCGATATTTGTCCGAATTAGTAGAAATTTGTTGGAGTTTGTGGGCTCCCCTAGTTCGGCGGTCTGACACTTTAACATGATCATTAGGGGAGATGGCTACTTTATCATTTAAGATTTTGTACATCATTGTAACCCTTGCTTTTGCTCGTCTCTGTGCAAGTGGTTCCCAGTTCAGTGATTGTACCATGCTGGTGACACTCCCAGGTTCACGGGTCCTGTAGTTGTTATAGACATATCGAGCAGTCCTACGTTGGACGGTTTCCAACAGTACTATTTAATTGTAGCTTCACCCAGATATCACGTTTCAGCCACACTCGCACCAGGTATCCGATTAGTCCTCAGAATTTCGATGTATGTACACATGTGTGACGAAAAGAATACACGTTTAAAGTACCCGTGGTTTATTATGATTTTAATGATCTCAAGATCAAATCAAGATAGCAAGAACCAAAACAAATTACAAACCTGTCCTGAAGTGTAGAGAGTACAATATCTGTACTGTAATTTTTTATAGGATGTAGACCACACTCGACAAAAATGCCGTCTCACGGCTAGTATACCGCTTAATCAAAGAGGATGAATGTTGGCCTATGTCGCTGATTCGAGAGGCCCTTTGCTGGGCAGTCGCCTGTTCCTTCCGCAGGTCGCTGGTTTTCTCCGGGTACTCCGGCTTTCCTCCACCACCAAAACCTGTTACGTCCTTAAATGACCATACATTATCATATTTAGCTGTTCATGCAACATAAAACACAAACAATTTTTATATAGTGTATCATTCATAGCGGTAACGTTTCTCTTTCATGAGTAAGGAGTATGTCTTGTTGATAACATTTAAACAAATACTTATAACACTAAATGCTGCTTTCTGATAACTTCCTATCTGATTGACCGAAATAGTTTCGACTTATGTTTAAATTCCATCAACCCGATTTTGACATCATTTTACAAATGTAGTTTTCATGGCACTGACCACGGGTATGGTATGTTTTGTACGAATACTGTTTTTGCATAATTGAACGGATGCTTTTGTTTTTCGAGCTGACCTGCTGTCCAAAGAGTTTCCCTGTCCTCTTATTGTCAGATACATTTTCGATTATCAATTCCAGCAGATCGGCAAATGTTCCGATCAATCTGTAATTACATTTGTACATTTTATGTGTAAATATAACTATTTTGGTCATTAATATTCTGAAGTGGCGAATATTCTCTCAAATCAGCGGAACCTTCAATTTTCTCTTCAAGTTTAGATTAGTTAACCAGGTGGACAATTCATGACCTGTGGGCCTTTAGCTCTATTACGAAAATGAATATAATTTTGAATCTCCGGTTAGTTTTAAATTGATTATGCGATTGTGTGCGATATTTTATGTTTTGGAACGCAACCACATAAAACGTCTATGGCCAAACACTGCCAACTAAGGTCAGCATTGCCAACTACGGTCATCATTGCCAAGTAATGTCAACATTCGTTAATTAAGGTCATCACAATCTACAAAATATATATACGGTCATCAGTTGTCAAACATGATAAATGAATAAATCCTAAATTCTGTTGTCATATATAACTAGTATTTTAGTGTCTTTTAGTTGTCACAAATTATGTTGTAGCATTTATTTTTTATAGAACACAAGACTGAAACAATGTCGGCCAGTCAGCCTGAGGGCGGGTCCAAGGGCGGGTCCCAGGGCGTGGCTACTATTGACCACGAAGAGGTGCACGTTAATCTGGGTAGTAAAACAAACAACGGAGACGGGCAGCCGGTTGTCACCAACCAACCGACAGTCAGTTATAACAACAAGCAAGATGGGGCTCCACCCATTGTATTCCAGGCACCCCCGGATGACAAGGACAAACCGAAAGATTTTGTGATGACGTCATGTGCTGTTCTACTCTTCTGTAACTTCATCTTCGGTTTCCTTGGTTACCACTTTGGAGGTGTGTATGAATACGTATTCTGTTAAGTTTAATATTCTTGTCGATAGATAAACATATTGATAGGTCATTTTAATACCGCTTTCGTGTTGTTCAAAAGTTTTAAACATTCAAAATGACGATTTTTTTTTGTGTCATTAGTTACAACGGGGACGAGAAAATAATGATTTGGATCAATGATAAATACTAATTTCAGGAACGTATTTCATATTCTCACCCATGATACATTATGTATTTCGGAGATATTCATCGCTGTTCAATGTTGACTTTATCTTTTTTAATACGTGTCATGGATATCATTGGTAGTCAGCTTGTGGTAAGAGAAGACATATCTTCTGAACGTGCGTGTGCTCCTTCGCAGTGTCTTTCTTGGGAACAGCGGTCGAAGTAGGATAAATCTTACAGTTGTGTGACCGCACAACGCACCAAAAATAGCGTGCGCGCACCGTGCATACATGGTTCACACACCGTCCGCACATCGTCCACACATGGTGCGCACAACTGTGCGATTAAACAATCGTTCGCCCCGTTGTGTGCTTCTCTCCGCACAACTGTGCGATTGGGTACAATTTGTAGATCAATATTCCGGAATGAAAAAAAAATACGGCAAGCTCGTATGCAATAACGAAAACTGTTTATATTACTGTAATTTCTCATCACAGTCATGAAGATTATATACAGTTTTACAATGCGTGTAACACAGCATTACAGTGACCATTGAATGGGTTTAGCTCCAAGGTAACAGAACAGGTAAATAACAAGTTGATGAGTGACCGGAGTTTTACCTGGCCTGTACCTGACACATAGAGCTGATATGCGATACCGTACGTTTAGTATTTGTTATTTGCATTCGGTTTGCCTATAGCTCCCCTTCACTTGGGTTTTCACACCTTTGGCCCTACCCGACGAAATACGAAAGCGCCCCGGGCGGGGGAAAACTACGGCCCAGGTACATGTACAACGTGGCTATGTTTACCTGCATACCGGACTGTGTTGTAATTTCATGTGTCGATTAAGGTCGTTTAAAAAATACCGAAAACACAATTTCGAATTTTAAGAAAATATAGACATTAAGATAAGCTTATTGATCTAGATAGAATATAGAAACATACATAAAAATCAAGTTTATTTGTTTACAAACGAAACCGCATATATTGTTAAAGCATACCTCAATTTACACTAACCACGATTGATATCGCACATCGTTCGTCCATCGTGCACACAAATGTGCGCAAGCAATGATCGGCCAACTTTTTATCGTTCGCACATCGTGCACACATCGTGCGCACACCGCACATCGTGTAACGTTATGCGATCCCACAACTGTACTATAGGCAACAAAATGCTAAAGAAAAAAAAATCATGCATATTTATAGCGATGCTATATATATAAAGATGTTTTACTACCCATTACCCAGAATCCCTTTATGAACTAGAACTCAACGTTTGATATCCACAGATCAAATTAATGAAAAAAGTAAGTTCCGAAACTTTTCGCACCGTTTACGCAACATGACGTCATTATTACGTCCTCGACGTTGTTTCGTCCGCCATTATTGATCGGTACACGTTTTCGGGAAGGAAACTGAACATCAGGAGGGGGTAATGCTGAGTTATAATTTACTTGAAATAACATTTTCTTATAAACCTCAATTTTATGTAAGAATAAATTCATTGTCGCATGTTTTTACTCACCTGACATCTCAAATTAGACGAGAGTAACTGCACATGCGGATATATTTCACGAGGGCTTTAGCCTCCTGTGTGCAATGGTATGATACAAGAGGACGTTGTCTATTTCAGTGAAAGCAAACCACGCATGGCAGCTGGGAGACGAATCAACGTCACGCCACCATGCCAAGAAAGCCCTCATCTTTGTGATATGTGGCGTGGTGTGTGGAGTGTGTACGTATGTTCTGGCCATCACACTCTATCTCACCCTGAATAAAAGCAACATTGTCTGAGAGGTAGCCTGGTGTCGCAGAGTTGTGACGTCACACCACCTCATCTTGAACAAGAGCAATTTTACCTGATATGTAGTCTGATATCGCGGACTTGTGACGTCACAGTTCCTCATCCTGAACAAGAGAAACTTTGAGAATTTGCCTGGTATTGTGCAGTTGTGACGTCACCCATTATCTCAACGCCAATAAGGACTTATGGATTTATGACGTCACACTTACCTGTCCCGTCATGCCACATTTTCTGAGCTCTACCTTTGTGTTAATATATTTAACCTTGTGACGTCCTACCTAACCTCGCCATCAACAAGAGCGATTTTCGCCAGACTTTGTGATGTCACAATCTACGTCACTCTGACTCCTAACGAACACAAATGTCTCGAGTTTATTCTTAATTAGACTGGCCACCGTCTCTAGAATATTGAATTATTAAGAAAAAAGTTTAACTCAATTTTTTTTGATCACTTGTATGTCTGATTCTAGAATAAGTTCTAAACTAGGGGGAGATAAGCTAGTAGTAAAATGCATCTGAGAAATTCTTCATAAAAACTTTGGGGATGGTAGCCAGTCTAATTTTTAATATGATATCAAAATCTCGTTCTCCCTGTTGTTCAATAGGCAGCTCCGCCATGATGATGTTTCCTCTTCGAATTCCATATAGCATTTCTTCAAATATTCCATCCTATCTAATGTCACGTCAGTATCAGATTACAGAAGCTTGCGGGGTAAATGTGTCGATAACCATCTGTTTTATACTTCTCGTTCCAGTCGGGGTCTTCTGTTGCGTTCCTCACTACTTAAGAAAACATAATGCAGCGTATTTACCTTGTCACTTCGATTCACTTATCACCAAATCACATGAACAATGGCCTATTATGATAATATTTTTCCAAACGAATTTATTTTAATGTGAGCTGTTTTTCAGATCGAGATTTGGGCGATGTTGTTGGTGTATTTGAGGGATGTCTGGTTTCTACAGGAGATAGATTGACAGTCAGCATAGTATTGGGTTTATACAACAAGAGGCAGACTAGTCAAACACTTACATATCCATGTCATTGTCGGCATTGCTCATTATTTAAATGTTTACATACATTGTCTCCAGGTCAGTGAAAGATTCTTAAAATATCTTTGTACTTAAGGTCATATGTAGTGTTCTAGTGTTTAGTTACATTCTATTTTTAATCAATACCAGTCATTTTGTTGTATAGTCCTTTATATTGATTTTGATGATGTTTATTTCGGAAGTAGTGGTATATGGTATAGTATGGTTCTTCATATCATATCAGTACTTTGACAAAAAAAAAAAACTATGCAAAAATATTCTTTTAAAGATACTGTATTTTAGATATTTACATTTGTATAGCATGTATCGGTGGAGGAGATTTGCACTCGTTTAGAGCACATCAACAGAAGTAAAACACAAAGACGTCCGGTGTGCTGTATTTCTATTGATTTCATTGTTGCGATTTCTTATGTGACGTTGATGTTATTTTCCCGAAAATTTTAAACCCCGACACGTGCACATTGCGTCAATTTACTGCGTTATTGGTCAAACATGAAACCGAAATATGACCCACGCCTGTAATAAACGTAAATAACCAGGGCGTATCTATGTGTTAGATTATAAATAGGTAATTTGTCTGTTATTGTCACCTATGGAGTGATAACAAAGTGTATTTTATCTTTACTGAGCTACGATCAAATGTTGTTATTTTTCTTTATCTTTATATGCAAATATTACAACTGTCTCTGAACCATTAATCAGAAATTTAAAATTGTTTTTTTTTAAACTTATTTTTCTAAAAGTTTCTTCCGATATATTGACTAATAGTTTGTTAAAATAACGGCCTGCGATATATAACGGGGGCGGA